GGCTGTGCTGAGGAAGTAGCCGGGGAAGGGGGCCGCCTCGAAGGGGTGTGTGGAGCCACCATAGGTCTTGTAGAAGGTGTAGGGGGTGGCCTCGGCCCCCCGCGAGAACAGGTCCAGCAGTCCCACCTCCTGTCACGGGGGTGGGGTGTCACCACTGGGGTAGCACCATCCCAGGGAAGCCCCATCTCCAGGTGGCACCATCTCAAGGAACCCCATTGTCCAGGTGATGCCACCATGGCATGACACAACCCTGGATGATCCCCACCTTCAGGTGCCATCACCTCAAGGTGAGCACCATCCTGGGGAACTCCAACCTCCAGTTGATGTCATCGTGGGGTGACACTATCCTGGGGAACCCCCACCTCCAGGTGCCATCACCTCAGGGTGACACCGTCTTGGAATTACACCACATCAAGGTGCCCCTGCCATGGCTTGCCCACCTTGGGTTGACCCACCTCTGGACATCCACCACCCCAGGGTGCCCCCACCTTGGGTTGGTCCACCTCTGGATGTGCACCACTCCAGAGTGTCCCCACCTTGGGTTGTCTACCTTGGGTTGACCCATCTCTGGACATCCATCACCTCAGGGTGCCCCCACCTTGGGTTGTCTACCTTGGGTTGACCCACCTCTGGACATCCACCACCCCAGGGTGCCCCCACCTTGGGTTGTCTACCTTGGGTTGACCCATCTCTGGATGCCCACCACCCTGGGGTGCCCCTAGCTTGGCTTGCCCACTTTGGGTTGGCCCATCTCTGGACATTCACCACCTCAGCGTGCCCCTAGCTTGGCTGGCCCACCTTCGTTGACCCACCTCTAGATGTCCACCACCCCAGGGTGACCCCAACTTGGATTGTCTACCTTGGGTTGACCCTCTTCTGGATATCCACCACCCCAGGGTGACCCCACCTTGGGTTTTCTACCTTGAGTTGACCCACCTTGGGTTGCGCCACTTGTGGGTGCCCCACCCCATGGTGCCCCCCGCTCTGGGCCACCCCGCATCACGACCGTCTTCACGCTCACCTCCAGCTTCAGCTGGGGCTCAGGACCAGTGCCACAGGAGAGGGCCTGGGTGCCACCACGGATGCCCACGATGAGGGGACAGCGCTGGCGCTCCAGGTGCCGGTTAGGAACTACGCTGATGGGTTCTACGAGGAGATGAGGTGGGTCGGGTGGGTGGGAGCACCCATGGGTGGGGTTGCCACCCCCTCCCCACCCGGGACACCCACCTTCCTGGGCGGCGTTTGCACCCTGCAGGCTGGGGGCCACCACGGG